TGCAAGTCATCTAGACAATTTTTTTTCCTCTATAGATGCACTATATTGATATTCCCATGATGGAGTCAAAGTATGAACTGTCATTCATATATCATTATCATATTGACAATTACACTCTCCCAGAAAACTATTTTTAAATAAGCTGATACAGTCATATTATCCTTTCAAACAAATAAGCCATGTAAAATATTTCAAAAGTTTTCACTGTCTACTTTGAAGAAAATTTAAAATATTCATATATTTTGGTAAGAAATCATATCAATGATTAGAAAGCTAGAAATGTTATGTGATTAAGATTATTTTGTATTGTTTGGATGTTTTTTTTTTCACTTTTCAATATCTTTTATTTATATTTTATTAGTAAGATTTATTATTCTAGCCTTATTTGATATAGAGTTGGTCATAACAGGTAAAAATTAAGTTGTTCATTTAAATTAATATTAGAGCACAGGAATCATTTCTGAAAAATTTTACTCATGGCTCCCTAAGATTATAATAGTGAAAAGAGGAGACATGTTCATTTGTATTTTTGTAATTAGATTTATATGCTATCAGATTATATATGGCAATGGTAATATTAGCTGTTTCCTTACAAGGAAACATTTGAAATTCACTGACTGAGTGTCTAGTACTCCTTTCAGTTGAAATTTATAAAATCTTTCTCTTAAAATAGTTTTTCAGAAAAATAGGTTCCTGAAGCTCAGTATTGATGGGGGTTTCCTTTTTTACCTTTTATTTGAAGTAGTATGGAATACCATCATTGTGATTATGTTGTTATTTTCTCTCTGAGTTACATGAGGTATCCGTTCTAGCTGTTGCTACTGTTGAATGTCCTCAAGTCATGTGGTTTCTATTATTTGGTACAGTTCTTTGTGATTCTGTAGCACCAGTCCACAATGTTAAAAAAAAATGATGGCCTTTGTCAAGACACTCAGGCTTCACTCACTCAAAGCCATGTTTAACCATTGATTTTAGAAAGCAGTTGTATACAGCTGACAGTTTAGATATTTCTGAACAGGTTTGGTGCCATGCAGGATATCCATATGAAAGTTTCAATCTGATGAGGCTATTTAAGAACATGGCTCAAATTTTCAGGTTAATATTTTGGTTTTGTAACAATTTGCAGTGCTGGGCAAAACTAGCTCTGTCACATCCTATGTTCAATTTCCTTTTCTCCTATACTAAATTTGTTATAAGTGATCCATACACACACAGAGGTTTCATTGAAGATGACTGACAAGGCGCTGTGATTAAGCTTTTATTATATTTTTCTTGCATGTGTACAAGAGATTTCTTTTTTTGTTAGAGTGTAAGAACTACCTAAATGTTCTTTTGGATCTGAGTGCATTTGCCTAATTTATTAGACATTATCAAGGATGTTTGAGATTGCCTCCCAAACAAACAATATATATGTATATAAAATTATTACTATTGTTGAGTTTTATTTGAATTTTGATAACTATGATAGATATAATTAACCATTTATCCCATTTGTATTGAATGTAAAATGATATTAGTTTTTGCTTAGTTTTAAGTTGTTTCAGAAAAGTCATTAATATTCCAAATATTGTTTGAAGAATTGTGGTTTCCTTAGCTTTGTGAAAATGGATTTTTTGTTTTAGATAGGATAAAATGGTTTGCTTTCTTTTCTCTCTCACAGACTGCATCTGGTGAATGATGAAAAATAGGTTGACCATAATGCTGTATTGACAACAGAAGTATATAAAGAGGTTCATGCATGTATGAAAATAAATGAACTGCTTCAATGAAACTGAAAGCATTAAATTTAATATCTTTAATGATGGGAGGGAAAGTGTTTTTTTTTTTTTTTTTTTGTTTTTTTGAAGAGAGAAAATAAAAAAATATATATAAAAAATATGTGTAATTTCACATTGAATATACTATTGTTTTAAATTAAAATGAGTTTAAATAAGAATTAGTCCTAAAAAATATTTTCAAACTACAGATGAATGAAAATGAAGTTGCATTGATATTTCAATTTTGTTTACAGATTTGCAAAAGGTGCCAAAAAACGCAATCTTATTTTCTATATATTAATATAGTTTATTAATGTAAAAGGATATGGTAATGCTTGTTTGTGATGATGTGCAAGAATATCTTAAAAATGTAGATAAAACTGTGGGTGTTAATGTAGATGGAACTGTGTAGAAACCTGAAATCTAAGTGCTAAATCTCTGAACCAAAACTAAAAAAGATCTGATATTAGTTGAAGCGAATCAATTTGTATTAATTTACACTGTATCTCTTTTGATATTAGTTATTAAGTGTTACGTCTTTTTAAATTTAAGTAATTGAAGTTTGAAGGTTTTTTTTATGTGCCGAGTTTATTAAAAGAAAAAAAAATGTATGAAAGTTCAAGAATCTTGTTTTCTTTATAGTCAGAAAAATCTATAATACTCATTTAGGTATATATCTTTATCAGTTTGCTTATGTTTGCATAAATCTGGTGAATTTAGTTGACTTGGTGTATAATTGAGAATGTTTAACCTTAATGTAGAAAGTTTTTAAAAATATATATAAAATGTATTTTGAAAAAATGAAAATTAATTTTTCTATGTGAATATGTTAGAAACCTTGTTAAGTTTTCTCATTCAATTGTTTTAAAAGCAATTTAAATATCTACATAGACGGAAGTAAAATAATGGTAACTGCAAGTATAAAAAGATTTTTGTATGGATATGTATAGTGTATAAAACAAAAAGGAATTTTTTAAAAAAACTTTTAGACTAAATCAAATGGTGATTTAATATTTTCATAGTTATTAATTGTCCTTAGTATTTTTGAATTGCTGTTTTCATTGATTTATTGGATTCTTATTACTACTATCTTTGAGGAAACATTCTGTCTATAACTTTAGGGCTATATTTAGTGATTATGTTTTTAAATTTATATTCTGCACTGGCAGGTTTGATAGTTAAAGGATCATTTTATTAAGCTTATTCTTTAAAACCATTTTTTTTTTGCAGCTGTCAACTTGATATATATATATATATATATATATATATATATATATATTATATATATATATATATATATATTATATATATATATATATATATATATATATATATATTATATATATATATATATATATATATATATATATATATATATATATATATATATATATATATTATATATATATATATATATATATATTATATATATATATATATATATATATATATATATATATATATATATATATATATATATATATATATATATATATATATATATATATATATATATATATATATATATATATATATATATATATATATATATATATATATATATATATATATATATATATATTATATATATATATATATATATATATATATATATATATATATATATATATATATATATATATATATATATATATATATATAAAAAAAGTTTATAAGTGTTGGATTATCCTACTAGTAAAAAATATAGCTATTTTAGCTGAAAAAGAAAGAAGCAATCCCTCAATGTGATTCATAAGCACAAGATCAATCAAGTAGCTGAAAAGAATTTCTAAGATATGATTAATTCTTCATTTAAAATATAAAGATACTTTAATAATTCATCCTTTATTTATGGTACAGATACTTTAATATTTGTTAAAGTTGATTCTAGATATGGAACCTGTCAGTATGTGAAGCATCAGTCTTGAAAAATGCAACATTGGTACAGTTGCCTATTGATTCTATTGTCTGTCCTTATTAGTTTTAACTTCATATTCCCAACTTCATTCTCTTATTGATACAGTTTTCAATCTCTGAAAACAGCAAGCTGGTTACAGATCAATAATATAGAGTGACTTTTGTTCAATACAGATCATTCACTATATATAAAGATTAAGCTCTGTATAATTAGGTATTTGTTGATAGCAAACATCTGAGGAAAGAATATGACTTAATTCACTCTGTCCTAAATAAAATTCTGTCAGTTTCATTTATCACTTACAGAATATCTTTGAGAATAGCAACAGAAATTTTTTTTGCTTTTGAATATTTTTGTCACTTTCAAGATTACTATTAGTATTAATCTCATCATAAAAAAGGAATAATTTGTTGCATGCAAATAAATGGTAACTGAAGGTCAGCTTGCTTTACAAATAATTTCAATTTATCCTTAATTCACTTCAGTGGAGATGTATAATTATTTTTTATATACTGATTCGTTAAGTCTTGTGAATCAAGCCAAAATGTATCATGCTATCATGTTAGAGTTTTAATCTCAATTTTGTTCGTGCAAAAAAAAAAAAACAATATTGTTGAGCAATAGATTATTATAATGAAATATAAAGTCCTATGAGGCTATTAAAACCTGAAGTCTTGTCTTTTTGAAAATGGAAAACAGTTTAAGATTATTATATTCTGAGTTTAATATTGGTTGATGTTGCTCTCTTATTACAAAGTTTACAAGACATAAATGCTTGGAAAATTGGTTTTATTTTATATTTCATTACTAGGAATAGAAGCTATACCCTCTTATCAAGTCTGTTGTTGAAACTTCCAGATTTTCTATATTTCCATCATGATAGAATGTTTATAAGCAGCATATAACCTTATAGCTAGACTGTTGTGAAATTTATTTTCATATTTATAAACTTAATTTTCATTATGAGAACTAAAAGGCAGTAACACAAATTATGAATTTGAAGAAAAAATAGATACCAACATCAGCAACAATATTATTGATATGTAATAAAGGATTTGGGAAGGAGGATAGACTAAAACTGGGAAATGATAGGGTTAAACATGATGGATTTAATATTTAGCTGGATTTATCTTCTGGCTGTTTTTATTTTACTAAACTTTTTTTAATGATCTTTCATATGAAATAATGAATGTATACAAGCATAGAATTTTAAAATATGAATACTTGAAAGAAATATTATTAGAAATATTTAATAGTTTGCATTAATTTGAATGGCTTTTTTTAATACATAACTTTTCTTTTGTTTTCAGATTGTTAGGCTGAGTATGGATGAATCTGGCCTTATCTATGGAACTAAATGCCTTGAAAGTGATATTGAACCACAGGTAAATATTTTGTCAATATATCGCCTGGACTTGTCAACCAAAAAAGTAGCTTAATTTCTATTGATCATTTTTTTTTTAATTATTTCACTCCAATCAAGGTAAAAAAGCCACTAAAACACAGGGGGTTACTGAGTGCAAGAGAACATGAGGAAAAAGATTAAAGAGAGAACAATCAAAGAACAGGAAATAAGAAGTCAGAATATAATGATTGACATTGCATTTAAATTTTTGAAAGTTGACTGGAAAACAAGAAGCTGGAAGAGTTTCACAAATGACATTTGCAAGAGAAGAAACTGTTAGCATGGAATTTATGTTTAGATCTAGCCATTTTAACTGTAAAATGATGATACCTTGCACTTAAATTCATAAAGTCTGCATACCAGAGAGGAAAGTTCATCAGAAAATTTACCATGAAAATATTTGAAAAGGCACATGGAAGTTACGTTATGTCAGTGGGAAAGTGATTGAAACTGAGATGCTAGGTTAGGACCAATAACACTGCAGATTCTTCTTTGTATTTCATCAAGAATCTCTAAATATATAACAGAAGCACCAGACTAGATCTGGCTGCAATATTCAATGCATGGATAAATCACAGACTTATAAACGTGTAAGATAGATTGTGGTGAGAAAAATTGTCTAGCACGACATAGTGAACCAACTTTCCAAGCAGCAGACCCCATCAATTGATTCAATATTGTCTTTCCACTTCATATCAAAAGAAAACATATTCTGGATAAATTTAATATCATTACTATTATTCTATTTGTATTTACAACTGTTATGTGTTTTCTATCTAGGATTAGCGTGTAGTATCTACCTGATCCTCAGTCCATCTTGAACTGAAATCAGTTAATTTCTGATCAAGAAATCTACATAATATTAATCTGGAAGGAATTGGATAAAAGCAAGGGTGAAAAGAAGGCAGAAAAAAATGATGTCAATGGGGAAAGAAAGGAGGTAAGAAAACTAAAAATGAATTTAAAATCTGGTAAAATGTGTGTGTGTGTGTGTGTGTGTGTATATATATATATATATATATATATATATATATATATATATATATATATATAAGAGAGATGAAAGAAAAGAAGCTTGTTGGATATTAAGAGCCAATGAGTGAAAAAGCTGATAGGGACGGGAAGGCATAAAAATTGAGATACATAAAAATTTTTATGAAATGATAGAACATAAGAAAGAAAACAGAATAAAAAAAATATTTGTGTATTTTTTATTTCTTTTTCATATGTGAAACTAATCTATTTTTGTATAATCTATAGATAAAAAAAAAAAAGCTAGATTGGCAATGAAGATTAGAATGAGAAGGAAAATGGTGATAGATGAGCAAAGCCATGAGATTATGGATAATAAAAATAGTTGTCAAAACCTGTGGAATTTCCATGGGTCCAGCTAGTATTTACATTATTACACTAAGCTATAAAGTCAGTAATTATTTATATATCTCAAAATCTATTCATTTATAGTTTGATTATCTTGTTTAGCTCATGAACAGCTGCTAGTTAAATTGAGTGCTAAAAATAGTGCAATAGGTCAAGGATTTTATTTATTTACTTTCTTTATTCACTGTCAATAACATACAAGTTATATTGGCTTTTCAGTCTAGTTTGCTCATGATATCAGTTCCTAATAATTCCAAAAAATTATTTGCTATTGAAATAAAAAAAAAATCTAATAAAATTAAAGGTAGGTTTCGGGATTAAGCAATTCATTACCCAGATCTTTAAGTGTTGCTGATTAAAGGTTAAATTTAGTTATGTTTTACAAGAGTGCTTTGGCGTAATTTTTAGATTGATACTTAAATATAAATAAGAAATAGATTAATCTATATTATATCAGATTTTATTATGCAAGTCAATGTTTTTGCAATAGAATTGGTATTAACCAAATGTTAATACAATTTTACAGGGGATATTTATATGATAATCAAACTATAAATGAATAGATTTTGAGATATATAAATAACTACTGATTTTATAGCTTAGTGTAATAATGTAAATACTAGCTGGACCCATGGAAATATGATAATATATGAAATATGATAAATATACCATGTAAATTTCAGCTTATATTTTTATTAGAAATATTTGCAATAACATATTTGGTGGTTTGAGGGTTTTATTATGCAACTCTGAGATTGTTCATGATCTTGTAAATAAATATATAGAATAGTAGTATTATTGATATTTGTTTTAATTTTAGATACATAAAGATTACCTTCCGTTGTAAGAAATAACCAGAAAAGAGAAACAAGCTTATTATGTGATGGGAACACAGTGTTGGAAATCACAAAAATGTTGAGCAGAGATCAAAAAACAATGAAAAAAGAAATTGGTATCATTGACAAGATTGGAACAAGAAAAAATGCCTTTAAGAATATCCAAAAGAGATTTGAGTAAAATTAAGTGGTTAATAAGCAAGAAAAGTGGATTGACCAGTAAGAACATATTTGAAGATGCTGATGTGAATGTAAACTGAGAGAAAAGATGCAGAATATTAAAAACATTGGCTAAGGACATGAAAAGAGATTATCACCTCTTTTTAAGCAAACATTACAAAGAAAAATATGTAATTTGGGCAAAAATGTACATGAAAATTGATCTTTCAGCAGTTAATTTTAGTGATGCTAAAAATTGCATTTATCAGATTGCTGGTCGAGAGATTGAGTCCTTCATGAAAATAGTCGATCAACTTAGAAGATAACAGCAAGGAAAGGGAGTAATGTTTTGGGCTAATAGGCAGAAAATTATAGTCCCCTTTAAAAATACAAAGATGTATAGAGAGAATTAAAAGTTCTTGGATAAACTATTTTTGAGCAGTACAGTTTACAACCAAGAAGCTTTAATCTAAAGATCCTATTCATACAAAACAATGCTCCTTCAGATTCTGTAAAGCTGACTATTGCTCACCTTACCAAAAAAAAAAAAAAATGGTGGGAGATTAAAAATAAATGGAAAGCAATCTTCAAGTAAAGATCATCTTTGAGAAACAATAAAAACTGATGTAAATAATGCTAAATTTGAAACAAAAGTTAACAAAGTCAGTGGATGCAAGTTATAGAAGGATCTCATTAATATGTAAAATAATAATATATTTTTTATTTGAGTATACTGGATATTATGTTAATCAAATATATGTTTCTATTGCCTATATCTCTTGGATCTATTTATAGACTTTTATATTATATTGCCCAAAGAAATAAATCTTTTTACTAATATTTATTGGTGAACATTTATTCTAAAGATATTGACTTCCATATTAAAAGCTGACATGTGAATATGATTCTAAAGAGTGTGTGATGTCCAGATTTTTGGTCAGCTATGCTAATAAAGCAGTAATTTTTTTTTATTTTGATTATACCATATTATAAAAAAAGGTTCTGTTCAGGTAAGTATTATTGTTAGAAAATATGAGATAAGTTACATCATTATCCCAAACTCTTATGCTATAAACCAATATATTTTTACAAATTCATCAGCAGATTACTATATTTTTTCAAATATATATTTATGTAGATTATACATGTGTACTAATGTTGTTTATAATTGTATTCAATGATCATGCAGAATGATTATGGACTATGAAAGACTTACCAAAAGCCTCTATAGAACTTTTAGTTATAGAATTTACTAGCAGTAGAGCCCGGCGTTGCCCGGGGATGTAACAGTAAGAGATAGCTCAAGTATCGACCATCATAAAGACTGAAAAATAAAATTGACAAAGATTATTGTTTAAGGTTGACGGACACGCATGTCTTAATTAGTTTTTTTTTTTGTTTGTTTGTTTTTTTTTTTTACGAATTGGTCAAACTCAAACAAAAACATTGTTTTGAATCGTTATGAGTCTACCAATTGAATAGAATTTTATTATAAACAATTGTCTTGTAAATGGAATTTTTAAAGCATTCTGAATGTAAAAATAAAGAAAAAAGTGTGCAAGACAATAAGAAACACTACCTGCCAAAAAAAGTGAAGTTTTGTTGAAATCGGTTGAAAAATGTAGGAAATTCGATCCCATATATAAAGGAACACACACACAGACTACCTGGGTTTTATAATAAGTATAACTCGATATGAGTTGTCCCCCTTTCATTCTCGTGATGCCTCTTAATCGTGTTTTCAAATTGATTTTGTGCAAAAACAATTATGTTTTTCCAATTTTTGGCGCTGTCAGAACCACCGCAAGGTAATTTTACGTAGTCCTGTAAAGTTTTGTTTAAATCGGTTGAAAAATGTAGGAAATCCGATCCAATATATAAACGTACAGACACACACACACACACACACAACCTGGGTTTTATAATAAGTATGATTTTTCACTATTTCAGCTTTGATAAAAACACTACACATAAAAAATTTTCTTAGTTTTATATTGTTTTGAGGATAATGGCTAAAAGGTTGTTTTTTTTAATAATTATTAAATAACAATTTTTTTTTAATCAGATAGTGCAGCATTTATTTTGATTAATTGCATTACTTAGAATGATCATTTTGCTACTTATTTCAAAATTTATCTAACACAGTAAATTGATTAGTGTGTTACTTAAACCTCATAAAAGAAGGTTGAAATCATTAAATTGAAAATCAAAAACTTGAAATTATGCAAATTATTTATTATTAATTTAAAAAATGTGAATTATAAGATTTATACGAATTTAGTAAACTATTAGAGCAGATATTGTTTTTCCTTGCTTCTTCTTCCATCCAACAAATGATATCCTGTAACACTTCCATTGAATTTTTTCCTTAAAATGCAATGGTTTTTGCAGCCTTTGCCAGTCTTGTTTTCACTGAGTGAGTATAACTGTACTACTTGTCACCAGATTCAATAATCAACACTTTAATCCTCTAGGTCATTTTCCTATGAGATAATCCTAAAGCTAGAACCAGAAGAATACTGGAGGGCATGATGACTGAAACATTGTGATTATAGCAACAAAGATGAGGACATTAGCCTAGACTGTAAATAATGTAAAGTATCAA